GACACCGTTTCGTCCAGCAACGAAATCTACACACCCAAACACCTCTTGAAATCCTTAAACATGATCAACGTAGTACGCTAACAAGAAAAAAAAGGACACAAGCCAACAAGTACGAGGTCGTAAGCTAATATGATCGTAGCCGCATCCGCGGTATATGCCGGCCATATCCTTGTGGTGTCGCTGGCTGGTGCCCATTTGACAAAGCTAATTGCCTGTGCGCCTTACCGTTACTGGCGGGGCATCCGACAGGGCCTCCCCAGAGGCTGTCCGAGCGGATGAATCACACTAACTGAAATTTGTTAGCGCTTAAATGGTCCCCAGATGCAGCTTAATCGTTCCCACGGCGCGCCCGGGGTTTAGCCGACAGGGGTGGGAGAGAGGGGGGATATTAAAAGCGCAAGCCGCAAGGTTGCGTCGGCAAAATCTTTCCTGGCGCGCGCCCGCAACATTTTGATTTTCAGTAAATAGAATTACTTGTGCGAGATCCATCGATTTTTGTTGGGGTACACGGTTAAATGATATAAAGTTTATTCTTGAGTTCTGTTGCTTCCGTTTATGTGTATTTTTATTTTTATTTTACAAGATATCGCTGCATTTGGCCGTTACATGCGTGTAGCGTGCTTAAATACTACTAATGAAACTTTGTATTTATAATCTGCATATTTACGTTCAAAAATATGTGGGCAAAATTTTTCTTATCCTTGTGTTTAATATTCATACATCTATTTATATTTCTCAGTGCATAATCTTTATCTAAATTTTTGACATTTCCTTTCCTGATTTTTAAAGAGCTTTTTAAATTATTTCAGCCCTTTGAAAGACATGTTTATCAAAAATATTATAATATCAGGGTTTCGCTCGTATCGTGAGCAATCTTTTCCTGATGGTCTTTCTCCCAGAACAAATGTAATTGTTGGGAAAAATGGATCTGGGAAATCAAACTTTTTCGCAGCAGTGCAGTTTGTACTTAGTGAAAGATTTTCAAACCTCAGCGCTGCTGAGCGTAAAGAACTTTTTCACGTTGGTAGCGGCCGACCATCGCTTTCAATTTTTGTGGAAATTGTGTTCGACAACTCAGATGGCCGCTTGGTGATTCCAGGACGAGCTGAAGAAGTAGAAGTACGGATCCGTCGAACAGTCGGTCTAAAGCAGGATGAATTTCGAGTTAATGATCGCAAGTTTTCTTCCAATGAGGTGCATCAGCTGCTAGAAAGCGCTGGATTTTCATCGAGCAATCCATACTACATTGTTGAGCAAGGCAAAATAACATATTTAGTCAGCATGAGTGAAGCGGAACGATATCAGATAATCAAGGATATTGCTGGGACTAAGGTTTATGAGGCACGACGCGACGAAAGCAAGCGTATTCTCGAGGAAACAGAATTGAAGCAGGAACAAATTAACCACTCCATTTCACAACTAGAGGAAAAACTGCGAGAGCTGGAGAAGGAAACTGCTGAACTAAAGGAGTTCCAGGATGCCGAACACGAGAAAAAGTGTTTAGAGTATTGTATCTTCAATTTGGAGCTGGAAAACGCTAAGGAGGGGCTGATGAAGTTGGAAAATGAATGGACTTCTAAGAAAACTACTCTTTCTAAGAACCAAGAGTCAGAAAGCTTAGCCGAGCAAGAAATTCAGACGTGTGAGGAACAACTTGCAGAAATTGGTCGCCTTATTACCCGCCTAGAAGCTGAAAGGGTGTCAATCGAAAAAGAAATTTCTGCTTTGAACACTAAACAAACTGTTGTGGAGCTAGACGCGAATGATGGGGCAAACAGTTTGTATCGTGCTGATAAAGAATATGAAGCACTCTTAAAGGAAAACAGCGACTTGGATAATGCACTCGCAAAGGCCAGGAATAATGCACTACAGAAACGACAGATGTTCAAAAAAAGTGAAACCATTGCTATTGAGAGTCTTGCAGAAGTAGACAGAATGCAAAAATTGGTTGACCGTATGCAGGAAAAAAGAAATCGCAATAAACTCTTCAAGAGTCAGGCTGAGCGCGATAGATGGATAGCGAAGGAGATCTCAAAAAATAAAGAGATAATTGATAACGCAAGGTCTGAGCTTCAGTCCGTTGAAAAGGAAATCATTTCTCTGGATGAAGCTATAAAGGTAAGGAAAAATACGAAGGATACTTCTCATTCGGTGGAAAAAGTGGAAAAGGATCTGGCGATACGCGAGGATAAAATAACTGATGCATTGAGGAAGCGAAATGAACTTAATCTGAAGAGGCGTCAGCTTTGGCAGGTCGTTCATGAGCAAGAAAATGTTTCTAAACAGCTTGAAGAGTCATTGGAAAGAACACGACAACAGATAGAACGAAATATCTCTTACGAGATCCGTCAGGGGCTTCAGTCACTCCAAGAGGTCCTGAAGGAAATGGACCCAAATATTCGAAAGTCCGTTCATGGTCCTCTTATCGATCTTATTACGGTAGAGGATGGCTTCAACACCGCAGTTGAAATTATAGCTGGGAATGCTCTTTTCAATGTGGTTGTTGACACATTTGACATTGGTGCAATGGTGCTAGAAAAAATGAACAAGAGTCGAAAACCAGGTCGCATTTCTTTTTTTCCGCTCGATATCTGTAAAGGTGTAAAGAAAAACATACCAGAAACACCAGAATGCTCTTCGATTCTTTCAAAAATTTCATTTGATGATCGCTTTTCTCGGGTTGTGACGGAAGTATTCGGAAGGGCTGCCGTGGTTGTGTCACTGGAGGCAGGTTTGAAATTCGTAAAAGAGTTAAGTTGCGATGTTATCACGCTAGACGGTGACCAGCTTGGAAGAAAGGGTGCAATAACCGGTGGGTTTATCGATAAGCGGAACATGAAACTTCCAGTTTATGCAAAAGAAAAGAACCTAGCCGTAGCCCTTTCAGAGGCACGAAAAAAATTGGATAATTTGTGCCAAGAGGTTGCTTCAGTTGAGCAAACTATTACAGAAGTTTTAAATGAATTGGAATTGCTACGTGCACAAAATGTTTCAATTGAGAGGAGAGCAGATGAAGAATTTCGCGAGGCACGACAACGAGAGGAGCACATTTTACGTCTCAGCTCTCAGAAAGAAACCCTTTTACTTACGAAACGCACATTGGAGAGGAACATTCAGGAATCTCTTGAAATGAATGACCGCTTACTAGAGGAGTCGAAAGATAAATTTAAGATCAATTGGACGGATGAAGAGGAATTAGAGCTAGAAAAGTTATCTGAAGAACTCGCTTCGATGAAAATTAAATCCGCATCCATGCAAGCACAGCCAGTTCACTTAGCAACTGAAGCTCAGCTCATGGAGGACACGGTCCAACATATGGAGCGCAGAAAAGTGATGATAGGTAACCGTATTCGAGAAATTGGATGGTCCAAGCGCACAACACACGGTCTTGATCGCGAGCGTGACTCACTCAAGCATGAGTCCACTTTACTGAATGATCGTTTGAGTGCAATCAAGAAATCTATCGATACATCAACTCGACGAAAACAAGAGGTTCAAAAAAAAATGGAAAGTCTTAGTTTGAATCGTCTTTCCGCAGCATTATCCCTTCAAGAAAAAGAGGACTTAATCGATAAGACACAAGTCCAGCGGAACCTCCTCCTCCAAAGACGAGAGGAAGCCTTGAACAAACTTCGCAAACTAGGTGTAGTTCCAAAGGGTTCAGAGAAGTATGCAAAGTTTTCTCTTGGTAAGCTGATGCATCATCTTAAAGGTGTTAACGATCGTTTGAAAAAGTGCTCTCATGTGAATCGAAAAGCTATTGACCAGCACACTGCTCTTCAGCAATCCAGTAATGAGTTGCTTTTGCAACGAAACTCACTTGAGGAGGAACTGAAAAGTATTTACGACTTAATAAATCACCTTGACATGAAAAAAGATGAAGCGATTGAGCGTACTTATAAACAAATTCAGTATCAATTCGAAGAAGTATTTAAGGAGCTCGTTGGGTCAGAGGATACCTATGCGGAGCTGCAACTGGTACGAAGTAGCTCAGACAAAGACGAGGACCCATACTGTGCAGCGCGTATTCGCGTATCGTTTGGTATGGGCACCATTGTAAGTGAACTTGAACAACTGAGCGGTGGTCAAAAATCACTGGTTGCGTTAACCTTTATCTTCGCTATTCAACGCTGTGATCCTGCCCCATTTTACCTTTTCGATGAGATCGATGCGGCCTTGGATGCGGAGTATCGCACAGCTGTTGCAAATATGATACAGAAGCAATCGGAAGAGTGTCAATTCATTATTGCCACTTTTAAAACTGAATTTCTTTCAAGAGCGGAAAAGGTCCTCGGAATTTTTTTCCATAATAAGGTTAGTCGTATTCAAACCATTTCGATGGAGGAGGGAATAAAAATGCTAAAACAAGTAGCATTAGCGGACCGAAAGCGCGGTCGAGATGTGGAACATCATGATCAGATTTCAAATGGTTAAGTTTTTTATAGAAGAGGTACTTGATGTACTCAGAGTAATAGAGAGAGGGAAGTGGGCAAAGCAGAGTGCCGCCATTGACAACAGAAATAGAAATTTTTGATCATAGAGAGAAAGACGAGAAAAATTTCATTTTATCAAAGTACTTCTCACTAATTTCACAAAACGGTCTTTATATTGTTTTGCTATTTATTGTGAATTGAAAGTTCACTTTCTTGACCCTTATTTTCTAAAAAATATGCATTTATATCTGTTTCATTAATCTACTCTTATCTTTTTTTTTGCTACTTAAAAAAATACTGACATAGTCATTTTTTCAATTAAAAAATGATTCAGGGCCCTTACCTGGTTATTCCGACGCGAAGAGGCTCGGTGCCAAATATGACACCTAGCCAAGCCCGAGAAATATTGAACCCTGATGAAAGATTTATAAGTGTTTCACTATTTGAGGCAATGGACTTTTCGGTTCCGTGCAAAGCGGCGCAAATGAATTATTCCAAGATCTGTGGTTTACCTGATTTCCAGACGATCTTGGTGAACCGCAGCTCTTTTCATGGCTTGCACCAAAGTGCACCATCCACAACTGCAGGAATATCTGGAGAATGTGAAAAGGGTAGAATCACAATAACAGTTGGCATGTATAAAGAATTGGTGAAAGTACTTCAGCCCAATTTTGCCATTGCACTCACAGAATCTGTTTCACTCAATGAACCACAACCCAAAAAACGAAAAATAGCCTATTGTCGTACTGAATCTTGGCTAGATAAAATTGAAGCTTCACATAGTGAGTTAGACTGCGTTCTTATCAAGCCTTTTTCAGTGAGGGGCGCATCAGGTGGATTTTTGGATATGATTTGCCGAAATGAAAACGCGTTGGAGCTTGCTCTTAGCCTAAAAGATGTGCATCAAAATATTAAGGTTACTTCCTTTTGCTATGGAAATTCTATGGTGTCTGTCTTTGCAGCACTTACATTCAATGTGTCCTTGATTGAATGTCCAGTACCGTGGTTGCTGGCCGATAAGGGGGTTGCTATTACCTTATCCTTGGGAGATGTTGCTGTCGATACTGATGATCCAGAAATTGATCTAAACGATGAATGCTTTTCACTTGACATCAGACCACTCTGCCCCAATTGTAAATGCTACACATGTCAACGGCATCATCGTGCCTATATTCATCATCTTCTTACGGTGCAGGAAATGAACAGCACAATCCTGCTTGCTATTCACAATCTTTACAGACTAGTTGAGGTCTTTCGTTACGTACGAAGTTTATCTCTCGAGAAGCGCAGAGAGTTCCTAGTGGCGTTAATTAAGCAATATTAAACTGGTAGTCATAAACTGTATTGCCACCTGGGTATTATAGTAGAATCCATATAAGCGTGAAAGAAAGCTTCTTGGACAAAGTATTGTTACGATTTTATGCCGTATGTAAAATGTACAGGCGTAAAATCACTTTATATGCATCGTGTATTCTCTTTTTTCGCCACATCAAAATGCTAAGGAAGTTCAATAGAAAGCAAGATGTTGAAACTTATGTCACGGAGAGCATCAAATTAGAAGGAACCACTGCTTAATGATGTTAAAAGAATGATTATTTTAGCTCCATACTGAACAATTTCGAGTCATTTCGAGTAATTATTGACTCTGCCTTTCCTTTATATGCACTAGGTTTCGTAGATTGTGGAATCGTTCTGTTGAAGCTACGTCCTACAAAAAATTTTGCAAAGAACTTTACTGAATTTTCGAAATGTCATTGCCCGTTGCAAAAACCTTTTGTATGCCACTCCCACTACATAGACTTGATGATTGACCCCCTGTCGGTAAAATGCTTCACTAAGGTGTTATTAATCTTTTCATGGGTGTACATTGTACTACAGACTCAAAGTATTTGAAACTCTAATATGTACTGCCAGAGCATAAATTCGCTTTATTTTTTCGGTCGCAAAATCTACTGGATTAGCTGTAGGCAGTTGATACCAGTAGAAAAATAAAGCTGAAATGTCAAGTGAGTCCTTGAGCACGTCGCAGTGGTCAAACATTTAGTCATTGTGCTCGGTGTTGATGTCTTCAGTTAGTGAAGTATACTCAGTCTTGCAGCAAGTTCCATTTCCCATGTCTGCTATTGATTCGCATAAAGCGGTGAGTTTTTTTACTTATTGTGGTTAATTTGAAATCAATTAATGCAGATATAGTTAACAAGAACTCGTTACTATTACTGACTCATCGCTATTATTATTATTATTATTATTATTATTATTATCCAAACTATTCTATTGCTGAGCAAGCACAATTCCCAGAGGGAAGTTACATTCAATTCAATTTTAATTATTCTCAATTCAGTTCAAATTTTTCAATAGTCATTGTCTTTAGTTAATGTTGCTATGACATTTCCTCCTCTTTTTCTCGCATAAATTTGCAGCAAGCAACTAGATATCAGAGCTATAGATTCACTCCTTTTATCATGAAGTATATATGCATGAATAAACTACATTGTCTTGCAATTGTATGTTTTCTTTTATTAGCAACGTGCGAATCTAATGCTTTTCTTTTACCTTGGCTAGACAAACTATGTGCTAATCACACGATGTTTTTTGATCCATCAACTTTTCAGTGCTCTCCATGCTCACGTAATGCCACCGCGGTAGACGGCGTCTGTCAGTGTGATAAGGGCTTTGCTTATGTGACCGATGCCGCAACAGGGTCATCAGCCTGTGATAGCTGCAGCTCTCGACAACAAGCGGTAGGTAGTTTCCGCTTCGCTAACGGCTCCCAGATTTGTGTTCCCTGTGGAGGAGACTCTCAATTAGGCTGTCTTGAGGATTCTCATTACGATGCCAGACTCCTCCAATGCGTATGCCCTCCAGGCTTTTTGCTAGTTGAGAACATAGGGCCTGTTATTCTTTCCGCACAAATGTGCGTCCGGTGTGTGAATGGAAACTGCTCCTCGTGTGAGAATCCATATGTGGCAACCTCCTCTGGTGTTTGTGTTTGCAAAAGTGGTTATACGCTTCTGTATGACGGGTCCTGCGTACCCCAGTTGGTGTACGACTCTATGGCGAATGTGGCACGGAGTACGAGCACAACTTTGATACCACCTAATGTAGGGAATTCAGGACGTCCCGGTATTGCGATCACACAATCCAATCTCCGTGAAAATGCGATTGGGTCAGCTATTCTCTGTCAAAAAGGTAATCTGACCGCTTGCAACTATCTTGCAAATCTATGTGTTCTCATGATGTACAACTCAGAGACAACCCCATGTGCGCTCTACCGCCATCTCCAAACGAATAAAAAGTGTGGAGCGCAGTGGTGTGATTCTTCACTAAGCCTTCCACCGTTGTATTACAACACCAGCAACCGAGGTGTTTCTCCACCTCCAGGAAAAAACTTCCGCTTCACAGGGGAAGAGAATCCTATTTTTATCGTCTCGACGTATGACCTTAACGGCACATGGAAGGGCTTTCATAGATTGAATGATAAAGTTAATTTGTGTCGGATTCCCACACCGGTGCTCAATAACTTTTTCCGTCCTTCGAGGGCGCATAGAGTGTCCTGCTACCTCAACTGGGGCTGGTTCTTTTCGACAAATCATTCTGAATTTCACGACGTGTACATGGTCGATCCCAGCAATGAAGGCAACTGGATACCAGTACCTTTGCTTATAGACTACTCTAACCATGAATTTGACCTCCAGAGCCGACAAAGTGACTTGCTGTATCGATCTGTCGCTGCTTCTGGAGATGCTCCCTCATTGGATGGCTTTCGACGCCGATTTTATGTTTACGCTGATGACTCTCACATAGAAAGGTACAACAATAGAGAGCTTTCCTATATCACAACTATTTGGTCAGTGAGTTTGCTATTCCTTTCACCAAGTGAAGGGGATCATAAATTTCAATCACCTCTTCTTGTCCTTCAGTACGCATCCAAGAACATAGCCGAACTCTCACGGCTGATGGATGATCCACTTCACAATTCATATTTAAGTGAGGCTTATACACCATGTTGCACGTTAAGCGTAGTTCAACGGGTCATTTCCCCACATAGAGATCATTTTACAAGTACAGGGATTAAGGTTGCACTTATAGTCCTTTCTATTGTTTGCTTAGTAACTTCATTGATTCGCACCTATGGTTGGATGCGTCGCCGGCAGAATCACCTTCTTGATGGATTTGCTCTTTGTAGATTCTTTATTTACCTTTTTGATCACATCGGCAATACTTACTTCCTCATCGTGTGCATTTCTTCTTGGTATTTTTACCTTCTTCAAAGGATTCGTCCGCGGTATGACAACGTGGCGGGTGATAGTGAGGTGTATATTATATCCATGCTATACGTGGTTTTGGGTGCGAAAGCGCTCACTGTTCTTTACTACCTTGTGGAGCAGTGCAACGCGTATTATTTTCTCATTGATTGGGAGCGTCCTAAAGGAGAACTGCTCCCTGAGGATAAAGACGTGTCGTTGAGCATGTGGCGAGCTACCTTTGTCGCGAATAAGCTAATGGAATTACAGATGTTGCGATATTGGGATCCACTTCAGGTTATGACGATTGTCTTGCTCTTTCTAGGGGGGTTAGTCTATCGAACTGAATCATCTGATGACTTGAGTAGGTATAAAACTAGTTACTCTGTTGAGGTGTCGGATAAAACACTTCGAGTCGCCGTAGCCACTTTTTTTGGATTGTGGTAACACTTTTAATCTACTTGTTGAGGTTTAAAATTTTATACCGTTGCATCACAGTACACCCCTTACAAACGTTTGTTGATCTTTGTTCTGTATCGAACATTTCGGTTGTTATCCTTATCGAGGACATGTACGGCTTTTACATACATGGCGAATCCGTCTATGAGTACACAGATGTCAGCATGAAGGAGTTCCAGCACAACTTATTGCTTGAATCTCAAGGAAATATGCCTGCTAGAGGTTTGGGTGGACAAGGCGTGTACCAGACTTATGAGGTGTATATTAGTCCTTATCTCCGACACTACTTGTATGCGTGTTATAGTCAACTCTTTCTAGAATCCCAAAGGTCTCACAGAAATCTTCTCCACGCGGTGCACCCAGCCTCATGGCATTTCCTTGGCTTTACTGTTGGATTATCGAAAATACCGCATGTTTTCCCGCAGGCAATATGGTCAATTAAGGATAGTGTTAATCATGCGTTCCAGGCGTGTGTGTCACGTTCAGAAAGGATTATTTTACAAAAATCCATCCTCCAGAAGCTTTTTGCCTTTCCACCAAATATTATGCACATGAATGGATCTCAAAATGACGGCAAAAGTACCAAGGATCTATTCTTCTTGGATGATGTCTTGTCATACGGTTCTGCTTTAATGCTCGGTCTGGATTTTGACCTGTTTGTACTTTATTCAACATTTTTCGCTGTCATAGAATCTTCACTGGGGAACATTTATGTCTCCATGTTGCTTACTTTCATCGTTGAAGTCGTCATCCGTTGGTATCGTAAGCATGAAGGCATGGTCAATCTTAGTACCAAGATGATAATAGATGGTCGATTATTTGTTTGATATTACTTTATTTCTAATCTAGAAGGCAACATATATATCTATATCTATATATATATCTAAATATATATATGTTTTTTGGTGTTGCTAAATGTGCTTCAAAAAGAATATACACACAAATAAATTTTCGTGTTTTATCTGACCTTGCAATCTTTGTGATTGGAAATGGTTGTATGAGAAAGAACGTATGAGCTTCATTTCTTCTTATATCACCGATTGACATTCACTTTAAGGATTATTCTACTTCAGACGTCACAGAAAGATGAGACTTTCCAATTTATCTAGGAGGTGTGTATTAACGTCAGTTAACGTTTCGGGCTTGTGTAGGCCATTTTTCAGAATAGTGTCTATATCTCCAGAAGCAACCTGTGTGTGTATCAAGCGCAACATTTCTCATAAAAGCTTTAATGATGGAATTCGCACGACTCCTTTCGAATCCCCTAAGGTCAATGTTAATCATAGTTCATCCTCTTTACCGCAACATGCGGCGGTAGAAAAGGACTCGAGCTACCTTGGTGTGGTGCGCATATCATCCAAGAATATATCTCAGGAAATGGAAACTAAAGTGCCTTTCTTTCTATACTTCATGGTTGAAAACCATACTGAAGTTAAGACCTTCACCAAACTACTGTGTAACCAGGTGGACCAGACGAATCGCCGACTAAAAGACTCGAACATGGGTGAGTGTTACCAAGAGTTTGGGAAGGATATGGGGTTAGCGATAAAGTTGGGAATGGTGAACTGCTTAGAGGAGCCCGGTCTGATGCAAAAGTTTGGAGTAGATCCGCACATGTTTCCTCTCATTTACTTTGTCTTCAGAAAAATGCACTGCGACAAGCTTGCAGGTATAGTTCCCGAAGCGCAGGTAAAAGAGGCGATTGAGGCGTTTATAGACTACGCCAAGGAGGAAGCAAAAAACGAAAAGGAGGGAAAATCAATCTATCAAAAAGTACAACGAACGGACAATGATGATGAGAATGCTATGACGCTACTTGGTTCTGCGATTAAATGCTTACAAAAAAAGGAACTCCAAAAGGCCACAGAGCTATACACAAAATCAATGGAAATATCCATGAAAGAAATAGAAATTGTAAATAAAAAGTATGGTGTTGGGCGGAAAAAAATGACAGCTGAAATGTGGGCTAGCTTGAAACGTGAGGCGTGTTACAACAGCGCACCTCAAGCTATGTGTGGGTTGGCGATGATTTATGCGGCTCAAAATGAAACAGAAAAGGCGTTAAAGATGGTTGAACGTGTGCGCGAAGAGTTTCCTTTTGCCGTACAGGATCTGCGCACCGTCTCCGAGGCTGTGGTGCGCGTGGAGATCTTACACCTGTCAGGCTACGACATGAAGAAGGATAGTTATCTGAGTCTTCTCAAGTACGACGAGCTCATTGATAGCCCTGTAACGTTTTACAAGAATCGTGTTAAGCTTGTTGTGGCATACGTCCTCGACGGCTACAACGCGCAGGCTATCGAGGAATGCTTGAGGATAATCCGCTCTGAGCGGAAGCTGCTACCCGCGCTGAAGGAAGGCGGGTTCTTCCCAAGGGACTTCGCTTTAGGACCCAAGGCAGAGACCCCTGCTCGTAAAATCATACTGAAGATCTTCGAATCTTTAGGAAGCACGAATGAGCATGTCATAAAAGGGCGAAAACTCCTGCAACTTTATCTCTAATGTTGCTGTTTTGGACTTGATTGCACCTTTTTTTATTGAAATGCACTTCAGGTTGCTTTTGTTGAACAACTGTAACATGTGCGAGAGGTCTTCAATGCTTGGTATACGTTATTCGTAATATATGTCATGATGCGTGTAATTACAAAATTATATTTCCCAACAGCCTCTTTTTTTAAAAATTATTTCTACATGCGGTGCGAAAGAGCCATATCCCGAATTTTATAATACCCTGCTTTAAGACTATATTACATCCTTAAAATGCCAATTAAATAC